ATTGGGAAAAATTTCTGTACTGAAAGATTGGTCAGGCATTGGAACAGGCTGCCCAGGAAGGTGGTTGAGTCACCATCCTTGGAGGCGTTCAAAAAACATGTAGATGTGGCACTTTGGGATATGGTTTAGTAGGCGTGGTGGTATTGGATGGATGGTTGGACCTGATGATCTTAGAGGTCTTTTCCAACCTACGATCATCTTGTATCACATCAGACAATGTTTGCTTAGAAGACTGAGGCCTGTTTTGTGCTGCTGAAGGGCGTAGGAGCAGAGAGCAGCTGTAGCTGCTGTCGTTCCCCTTGCAAGATCAGAGAGCTGTTCTCAGGCTTTCCCTTGCAGCCAAGAAACACTTACCATATAACCTTAAAAAACAGAGCCTCAAGCACGTATCTCCTACATATACCACTCTATCAGTATTGGTGTTTTAAAAATTCTTTATGCTTTTTGTCTGTGGAAATCAAGGCCAAAAGAACGTGCTTTCTAACTCCATGCTTCCTGGGTTGGGTTTTCTTTTGGTTTTAGAGACCCGTCCATATTTCTGCGAGCAGTGCGGAAAAACGTTCACCCAGCAGGGCGCTCTCCGGCGCCACCAGCGCATTCACACCGGAGAAAAGCCCTACAAGTGCAGGGCTTGCGAGAGAACCTTCACGGACATGTCCACCTTGCGCAGACACGTGTCGGTACGCTGCCCCTCGGGTGTCGTGGTGGCAGGCAGACTGCAGCGGTGACGTTTAACTCCTGAGAGGAGTTTCTTGCCTTAATGAGGGTTCACGCTGGTGATGAATATTAGGGTTGGGGGATTGATCTACCATCTATACACAGCTTTTAAAAATGTTTCTGGAGTGTGCAGAATTTTCCTCTGGCAGCACGGCAGCTCCCACTGCTGGCTGTCAAACCAGTCGTCTCCCAAGTACTTGTATTGTCTTCAAAAGGAAAATCTAATCTTATAAAAACGTGTGAGGAAGGACTGGTTATTTAAAATGCTGGTTACTGATTGAATCCTTTTCTTAAAAAAGGAAAGGTGCCACAATTTGTATTACTACAGTCTCTTTTAAGCCTCTTACACAGAGGCCATAACATGATGTTTTATAACATCTTTGTGTTGCAGATGAATACCATTTTATGCGTTTCCAGCATTGTGATATGCTGAAAAGTGGGTTGCTGAGCTTTGCTGTTGTCAGAGACCTTTGGGTCCTTGAAGCGACTGCCAAGACAAAACATAAGGGGTTTTCCCAGTTGCAAGTCTTTAAGTTCATGTTTGCCTGTATGCTAGAATTCCAGCTGCTTTTGGAAGCATTGCCTGGCAGCGGAGCCACAAAATCAGTGCATTTCAGAGTTCAGCTTTTGCATTTGAGCACAATATCACAGGGTTAACCTCGATACTGTTTGATTTTGCACTGGATTAAATTCTCAGTTACTGAAGTTGTTGTTAAAAATACTCAGATGTAATTGTTTCTACGCCTTTTTTTTTTTTCCCCCCCTAGATTCATGACCGGAATGCTCACTGGAGAAGCTTCTTAATAGACCTTACAACCAAAAAAGACCATAACTGGTCTAAAATAGAAACATTCTCAGAAACGTGTATGGGTGAGGGCTCTGCGCCGGAAATTTGGTCAGTTGACCGAGGTAAACTTTATAAACCAGAAAGCGTTCTTCTTAAAAACGCAGAACGTGTGCCATCTGGTGTTAGTAACGCGGAAGATGCTGATAGCTCCCTGCGGTACCCATAACGTCAGCTGTCGCCAGGATTCTCTGCAGACTCTCCAGGTCCACCATCATCCCGGCCGTTGGCCGCGGCCGCCGCATTACACGCTGCGGCGTGGGGCCATCTCCCCGCGGCTGGGCTGGCG